AATTTATTTTCTTTTTTAAAAGGTAGTCCAGAGTTGTCTTCCTCAAGGCAATTGACAGCTGCTGCAGCACAAGAGTTGGAATTAATTGCACGAAAAATTGCCGAAGGTTCAGCAGATCATTATCATCTCCAAACTCCTGTGACTTTATTTGTTTTTAATGATTTACTATTTCCTTTAGTGCTCATTGGACAATGGTCAGTGCTGCATAACAGAGTTTTATGTTTGTAATGGATATTTTTACCTCATAACCAGTGCAAAACCTTAATTTCTCATTTGGAATTGGTAGTAAATCTGTTTATGAAAGGGCAATTGTGTATGCAGGTTTTATTTGTCAGAGACCCCRATTTTATTTATTTACCATTACAGCACCATGATTTTGAGTATTGCCTACCACAGTCTGAATCATTACAATGATGATTACGTTGATTATATCAATCCAATTCTCTACAGTCTACCCAGGGATAAGCTGTTATCCTTTTCCTGGTTTTTGGACATTCTGCCTGTATCATCATGTTTAGAGAAGCCTATTGCTCATGCCCAGACCGTTTTTGTACATAGTTCAGGAAAATCCCATAAAACTGCTGTTGTATGGCATGACAGTACTCATGGGGCACATTCTGTTAACTTGAATTATGGGATCTASACAGTTAGTCAAGTTGTGAGCTGTTGTTCACACATTTTCACTTTTTCTCCAGGAGCTTATTAATATAATTTCTGTCTCTGCTAATGTTGTGGGAGTCCTAAAATGAATGCYTTTTGTTTTTTATAAAAGAACTTGATAATGAGCCCTTGTTCATTCTGTTTTTACAACTGCAGATTTGTAGCTCTGAGGTTAGCATTCGTTTTTTTCCTCACATATCCACTGTCATAGAACCCTGCCTGGGTTTATTATTGAAGGTAATAGGCTGGCAGACAGTTTTACTGTAAATTTGGTCATCAGTTAACATTTTTGAATCTGCTTGTGCTTCACATTCCTTTTTTCATCAGAATGCTGCTTCTTTGCAAAAGGCTTTTGGCTTGACATTGTTGTATGCGCATGCCCTGACTGTGAGCACCTTGTTAGTATATCTCCTGATCTGGCTGTTAACCCTAGAGGCTTAAAAGCAAATAAGATATGGCAAACTGATGTTACTCATGTGTCTGCTTTTGGCTGTCTGAAATATGTACATATTTCTGAGGTCACATTTTTGGGCCTATTGTGTGCCTCAGCCCTGACCAGAGAGCTTTGCTGTTTTGCAGTTGTGAGTGTCCCTGATGAAATAAAAATGGATAATGCCTGGATACATGGCAGGGTCCACCTGATTGTTTAGGGGAATATGGCATACTTTTGGTATAGCTCACATCTCTACTGTCAGSCAATTGTGGAATATCTGTATTGAAAAACATGTTGAAACAAAAACGGGGGAATCTTATCCCTCAAGAACAATTAGACGTGGTGACATATACTTCCAGTTTTTTGAATTGCACTCACCAGCTGGATCTTTTGATGTCTGTTGAATGACGTTTTATGCTCCCTCCAACGTTTTCCAAAAACCCTAAGGTCTTGTATAAAGACCCTGCTAAGAGGCAGGTGTGGAAAGATCTGGTGAAATTACTAACATGGGGGAAAGGGTATGCTTGTTTTCTGATTCTCACAGGATGTTTTTGGATTCCAGCAAAGTTCTGCAAACCCTATAAAAAGCTAGATCAATGAAAGCAAAAACCCATTACTGCAAAGGTGGCACAGGTGTCACTGCAGCAGAAGCAAACCAGGAAGAGATGAACRACTGAACCTGACTGAACCCAGGAATAACCTCGGGACAAATGAAACAATTAGATCAAAGTGCAAGTACTATGATAGCTGCTTCAGGAGCACCACGCATATCTACAAATGTCTTGCTTACCTTGCTATTGTCCCTGCCAACAGCAAAGTGAGTATGTTTTTCCCTATAGTGCTGCTTTTGTCTTTTACTAATATATTACCTCCTTTTGTTTTTATGACAGGTACCTGTCTTTAGGTTTCACATGGAAATAATACATTTAAGATAACAATTTCAAATCCCTATTATTTTAGCTGCCCAACAAATCAAAACATTACAATGCAGAATTTTTGTAATGGTATTAAGATGGAGGATTGATGTTTGGATACCCAAACTTAACATGCACTTGGGAAAGTAAATCTGGATATAGGAAACTGGCAAAAATTTTTACACATACACATTACCAATCCAAACAGTTTTAGAAGTAGGTTGATTGAATTCATTATTTTTGCATTTATCATAGCTGCCACAGCTGCAAAGGCCTTAGCACATTTGGTAAAAACAGGCCATGAAGTTGTTGAAGTATTGGGCAATGTATTGGCAAACATGGAAGTGCAAACAACTATCTATCAGCAAATTTTAGCCAGTTTAGATGCCTTAGAAGCTGCAGTTATTTGGCTAGGTGGTCACCAAGAGGCTTGTAAAACCAGAATGAGTTTGCAATGCAATTGTGAACATCKATCCCATGGCTTATGTGTCACCCTGCTGCCCTGGAATAACACACCAGATTGGAAAAATGCTCAGGCATACTTACAAAGGGCATTTGAATCATGTTAATTGTTAAAGATGAGATTCAAACTCTAGCCCAATCTACAACAAATGAGAATCACTCAAACCCCAGCACAACAAAGTGTATGGGATGAAATTTTGGATAATATGAAATGGTTGAATCAAAAAAACTGATTCTCTGTGTTAAATTTATGTATTTGGATTTTTGTTAACGTTGGAGTTGTTAGTGCTTTGTTTTTTGTTACAGTCCTGCAAGTCTTCTATGGAATAATTAGAGAAGTATGCACTGCTGAAGGAAAGGTCCTGGCTGCCCTCATCATGAATCCAATGTTCCAGAACAAAAAAGGAGAAGATGTAGGAGCAGGTGATGTGGTTTATTGTTATCACTTTGYAAAGAGTAATATTAAATAATTTCACGAATATCGTAGATCCTTCTGGGTTGTCATCAGGATTACTTCACAGTGAAACACTTTACTGAGCTGGATGAAATATATTTCTGGAACCACATCAGATTTTCTTACTAACAGCTCTTGCCTTACCAGCAGTGTGCATACTATGGTGAAATTAATTTTGAGACTAAGACTAGTATTGTTCAACTTGCTTTTCATGGAGCAAACGGCTTAATCGAYTTCAGTCTTCAGGAAAAGATTGAATGCCTTTTTCTTGCATTAGTGACTGATTCTGCATGCTGTCTCAGGCAGGCTGGTGTACCCAGAGACAGTAGTCCCTGTGTAAGGACAACCAGAAATACTGCAAGCGATGGTATTGTTGGCCCATGAGTGGGCCAACAGGTGACTCAGAAACCTCCTGATGATAAGCAAAGGCRAAGTCCTGCCTCTGGTAGGGAATGCACTGTGCACCAGTGCAGGACAGGTGACTGGTTTGGGAGCAGCTCTGCAAAGGGACCTGGTAGACCAGTGAACCTGGATTCAGTAGTGCGCTCACAGAGTGACAAATGCTATGTTGAGGACAAGTGTTCAATCCCCTGCTGCTCAGGACTTGTAGATCTGAATCTGAAGCAGGGTGTCCAGTTTTAAATGTGCAATATGTCAGATACAAACCAGAGAGAATCTAGCAAAAGGCCTCTAAGACACTTCTTCTAGGACACTTAAGAGGTGGGAGGAAGAAACCTTCAGAGACTGGCTGCACAGGAACCTTAGCCAGTGTGCCCTGACTGGCACCTGTGAGCAGCTGCTCAGCACAGAAAGATGGGATAATGCTGGAGCAGGAGCAGGAGTGAGCTGGTGCAGCAGATACTGAATCTCACTGGTTCTTAAAYATACCCCTTACCCAGATCCACCATATTTTGTTGTTTGCTCAGCCTTTGCTATATGCTTACCTATTTTCATCCTCCTTAGACAACTGAGGGCAGCCTTTGTTCAGACATCCTCYGGGCTTGAGGTTTAAGCACAGGCTCTAGCTATAGTATCACCTTCTGTAGCTGACCCAAGAATGTTATTTCTCTACTCATGTATATGAGGAAAATAATTTATCCAGAGCCATTACAGCTAGAGTACCATGAAAAACACACTAAATCACAGACTAAAACATCAATCACTTTGCAATAATGCCAGCAATTATTTACATACATCTTCCTGACAGCGACCCCATCCATTCTCTTCAGCTGCGATATTCATGCTACCATACAAATTGATATTGACAATACCCCCCAGATTAAAAGGCAGCACATTCCCTGTCTATGAGCCTTTGAAAAAGTGTGTTGATTTTCCCATAGGTTTTTCTATAACAGCAGCTGCTTCCTGCAGTGAAAAGTGAGTGCAATTGATTACTTGAAGCAATTTTGGCAAAGGGTGTAGGGACCTGGAGAGCATCCGCACTGATGAAAATCAGCAGTGCCCTCCTGCAGGCACAGTGAGCCACAGCTCCCATCTGAAGCTGTAAATAGAAGGGTTCTGACATTCCTGAGTAGAGCTTCTGTGACCACCCAGGGCTGCTCCATCATCATAAACTGCCAGACATCTCACCAGGGACAGAGTGCTTCCTCTGTCCTTTCAGCTTGGCAGGTGCCCCCAGGCACTGCCCTGGAGSTAGCAGCAGGCATTTTTGTTATTCAGAGTTTCAAAGATTGAAAATTAGCATCCCCATAGCCACTTTCTTTTTGGGAAAGCTGCTCAGGTGAAGCCTCAGTAACTGAGTTTTCTTATAAATCACATGCATTGCCATTTTAACCTTTTATTTTGTGACCACTATTTTGGTAAACATCCTCCCTCAGTGGGCAGGAAAGTAATTTTTTTTCTAGTGCGGTTACAATYCTTCATCCCAAGGAAAGCAAGATTTCTGGGATCTAGATCCTGATTTTGTTTTTCACAAACTCATCACAGTTGCATCTACTATGATAAATACAAGACCAATTAGACAAAAAAAAAGTGTGGGTATTTTTTTTTTTTTTACATTAAAAAGTTTTAAAATACATTTAAGTAATATTCTAATATTCCATATCCAACTACTTTTAAATTTGTAACAATGACAGTTCCAAGCTTAACTGACTTACTATGTTTCTAAATCAAGTAGATCCAGGAATATAAATAGAAAGGATTTTCAAATTTAAAAGGCAGTGCAACTATTTGCTGTAGGGATGCTCGCCTCTTCCATAGCACYTCTGTGCATCTCAGTTGCAACTTTGGACAGTGTACAAGCTCTTCGTCCTTGCCTGCACTGATCCACCAGAGCACTCAGTCATGGAGCTTCGTGACTGCAGGGACTTCTCATTCTCACTGTTTGCTTTCTAGACTGCCTGCCTAAAACTTGTAATTCTGAAAGTTATCCTAGTTTTAAGTTAATGTAACTGATGTTCTTTAGTTTAAGTAAAATTATCTACTCTACATTATCCTGACCTTGTGAAATGACAATGAGATAGTATGTCTTAATTAAACTGGTAACATACAATAACTTGTTCATTAATGATAATTTATGACAATGGTAATTTGTTGTGACAGTGTGATTGCAGTGTGTGAGCACACATGYACACGTGTGGGGAGCTTAACACACACAGAAAGACTCTAAATATTGTTATTTAAAAATAATCATTTATTCCTTATGAATAAAGCACAGTGAGGATGTTCCAAAACCTCCATATTTGTAGTAGTTAGCTTAGCACCAGGTTGCTGCRTTCAATTCTCTACATGTACACAACTATGAAATTACTGCAACTAACAGGAAAATCACATACACCTGGTCAAAAAGCATGGAATTTTATCCCAAATATTCATAAATCCATTGTGTCTGCTCAATTTTAAAGGGCAAACACATATACACTATTAAAAAAAATAGGGATAAACCATAGAACTTTCATCACATATATCTTCCTATGGATTTTCCCTTGAATTTCCCATATATCCAGATTAAGACAGATACAAAAATATCTGGAAAGATTAATTAACTGTGCATAAAGATGAAAGAAAAAAAAAAGATACTTTCTAGTTCATTAAAAATCCCAGACATCTCAAATGGCATGTTTCTGACATTGATGCTGTGTTGAGCATCTCACATAGCCCAGATTGAGGGCAATTACAGCTATATGTGCACCATACAATCATTTATCTAGTTACCAAGAAAAAAACTGTGAGACACTTGAATTGCCATGAAGATAGAAAAAAATAAAACAAATAATAAAGCAAATAAATGTACAGGCAAGAAATATAAAGTAAATATAAAGTTTTGAAACAYTCACTCAATAATAAAAACATGAAAAGGTGCAAGACTATGACTATCCCAAAGGTCATCAATATGGCAAACACAATTCTAGCTTTAAAATGTTGTTTCCCCTTTCACAAAAATATTTGGAACTGTGAAGATAATTTCAAGATACATATCTGCAAATGGCTGCAACTATTTGAATAACGGATAGTCTATGTATACAACAAAGTCCTGAAGTCCTARTGATTCTATTTGAAATTTTTTATGACATCAGAAGCATGTTCAGTTCAAGCTAATAATTTCAGTGCAACAGAAGGCAGAAGATGCTCAAATCTGTTGTGGTTGGTTAATAAATAACATCACAAACACGAAACAACAACTCATACACAGCAGTGTTTGTTTGCTTCTAAAAATTTTGGTCTGGGCTGACAATCCGCCCACTATTTTTTGTTTTGGCATTKTTTCTGGAAAAATCCAAGGGAATTTACTCTTTTGAAATCAAGAGTTAGTCTCTTTCTGTCAAGCTACTACTACTGTATAACCTACAGTAAGTTTGCTTTGGTCGGGAACTGTCACTGTGAAGATCCACACTGAATATATTTACTGAATGTGTGATACTGCCATAGGGCTAATAAACAAACACAGTGTTACATTTATTTACATAAGATATTAGATCATCAGATACTGAGAAAAGGTTTTAAAGGCCCCTGGTTGAAAGAAAGGTAAAAACAAACCACCACAAAACACTCAGACTGTCCTTCCAAATCCTTCATAGCAGCTGGAAATCAGGCAATCCTACCTGTACTTACAAATCAGGACTATAGCTGGAAGAGTATTAAGGATTTAAATATGTGCAGTGGAATATATGCAGGTTTGCCTTTTAATTTTCCCCACTCACAGCACTCTGGGAGGAAGGACAAGATTTCCACTTCAACTGAAATGCAAAACATCTAAGGGTTTTTACAGTGCACCAATGCCTAATTCTATTACTGTGCATTTTTACAATTTGTTTCTTCCAAGAGCCACTCAATTCCATTTAGCAATCCATCTAAAGTTGCAGCTACAGTGTCTTGCATCTGTGAAAATAAAATTTAAGAAAAAGCTAATGTATTAGAGATAACAACCAACAGGATCTAACAATATTGTAACATCACTCCGTGTCCATAGGTAAAATCAGAAACACTCATATCAAATCTAAATTTTTATCACTGGTGGAAAGATCTCTTACACAATAAAGGTTTTATAAGAGTAAGAAAACAAACACAACTCCCCCCCTCCCCCCCATATTAGGAAACCTTTCACTCTTGGTATCAGGGTGAATTTTTTTTCCTATTGTTCCATCAGCTGTTCTGGAATATTATACTTATTTTACAGATGACATCTACTGAAAAATTCTACTCGTAACTCTTAAAGCAAAAATGCTGCTAGCTTTAGACTTCTATGCTTATTATTAATACTCAGATTTTGTAACATCCTATCAAGTGGCAAATATAAATGGTATGTTTTGCAAAAAGCCTATAAAAATTTTCTTTTTGAAAACAAAGGAGTCATCTCAAATCAGATTTTTTTTCTGATAAAGTTATTCTTCAGCTGCATAATATCAACAAAAAATAATTCTGTATAGCTGAATCATGCTGATTTATACTGTGCTAGACAAGCATTAAAAAAAACAGGTTCAGGACCTCACAGCCTCAGTCAAAAACTGATGTCAAAAACTCAAGACATCACATCAACTGAGTGACAGTAAACAGCTTCCTAAAAATGCCCAAAAGGTCTATCYTGTGTCCAAGGTTGTGGCTCAGGAAATTTTGATTTAAATGAAGTGAAGCTTTCTTATTCCCTTCAAGACCATAATTTGTCCTTCCTTACATYCTGGTTCCATCTGAAGTCTCTTGTGTGCTTCTGGGCAAGTCACTTAGCTCCTCATGTTCAGATAGGCTAATTATTCAGCTTAGAGGATGAGAGAAAAATCCTTCACTTCAATGAAAAGCATATATAATATACAAGAGTTGAAAGCTGCACACTTGCCTAGGTAGGCATGGTTCAGGAACCTGAAAGCCTAAATTAAAATGTAAACCACAGAGAAAGAAACAGAAAATAGTTGTTTATGTGCAAGTACCATCCAGGGCTGACGTAGCAGATYTAGTTGCAGCTGATGTGCCATGTAAATACAGGGAATTCTTTTCACACCAATGTGAGAGACACAGGACAAAATCAGCAGAGGTCTGTTTGGAGGCCCGAGGGTTGGATCAATCATTGCCTCAATACGAGCCAGCTCTTCCTGACGATCATGCTCTAAGAAACAATTTTTAATATATGGGTGTTAAGCATAAGCAAATGCAAGGAAGTGGTTTTGTTTTTTTATTTATTTCAGAGGTGATGAAATAGAGGGCTGGAGAGCCAAATCATCTTGTTCCTTGTTCTGCTTACCATAAGACTGATTCGTCTGCACTTACATTACACAGATATTGATGACATTTAGATGTTATTTAAAGATATCCATAGATTCTACAGGCAGCCTATTTCAGTCCTAACATCAGACTGTTTTCTGAGTACCTCACAGAGATCAAAGTTGCAACAAGCCATTYAGAAATATTCATACAGCACAGTCAGCAGCTCTTCCCTAGTGAATGCACTCTTCTCCTTGATGTATTCCTTCAAATTCATTTCTTTCCCAAATTAGCCCTTTTCCAGATGAATGTAAAGACAATCACATAATTGTTACTTGGATTATCATCTTACAGGACTAACATGATTTAGACTAATTGCATTTTTTACTGGAGGTTTCCTGATGAAGGTTCTTTTYCCAGGCTATTACACCACAAACAGCGTATTTTCATATTTCTCCTATACATACCCAAAATTTTGTTTGTTCTGTTTTTAATCRATAATTTCCCATATGTAATTTAGATAGCAACCATATCAGTATGTGCCATGAACAAAACAAGGGACCATAACCCCTCACAGGTTGATGAGAGAGTGTCTAGGATAGGAACTTCTCAACAGAATAAGCCATGAAGAAATAGCAGATTTTGAAAGGATCAGAACACGGATTTTGATGTATTGGATATTCTTTGTAATCTAATACTCCAGTTATTTACAAAACAGAAATGAATAAAATAGAGAAACCCCTTACCTCTATGAGCTTCTGCATTTGCAACATAAATGAATCCATCAACTACTTCACACACCTTCCTCACTTGAGCTATTACACTGTAGTGCACAGCTTGCTGATTCCCGACTATGCTGTTCTCTTGGTAAAACATCTTATTTACAGTAGCAGCTTGCTCTTCCCTTGCTCTCCTCCTYTCCACACTGAAAGATATTTCAGTATTTCAGTAGTCAGGTTAACTGAGAATGCCAAAACTCAATCTTGAAAGTCTAGGCAGTGCAGGAAAGAGCCTGGAAAATGGGCTGAGACAGCAAAACAGTTTCATTTCTCCCTGTCCCCTCCTGCCCTCCTTTCTTTCTGAGTGCAYATATGGAGATGGTTAGCAATCTGCAACATGCATATGAAAATAGACTCCAGGATGAGCTTGTAGAGTGTTTCAAAAGGATTCAACCAAGGTACCAAGARGGACAGAAGTACCTGTAATGCACCTGTCATATACTTTTGGTACACATATGGTTTGGAAAAGCTTTATTACTTCAATGTAAAAACTTAGTGGTTGAAAGAAGAAAGGAAAAGCAAAGACATGCATTAAAGCTTCACTTTATAAGGAATATCCATGCATGAGAATGGTACATGAAAGAGAACGAGAAATGACAAGAATATGAGGAAAAGTATAAAATAAAGAGAGACTGTACTTTTTATTTGGTGGAGAATGAATCTTACTTTACCTGGTGGCAGAATACAATGTCAGAATATTGAATTTTTGGTTGTTACTAAACTGAAAACTGACTCCTGATCCAATTCCTACAGGGGAAAAAAAAGAATACATTAGATTACAACTATTTGGCTACTGAATACAGCTAAGTGGTAGTTTGAAAATTCCAGTGCTATAAAATGGATATATTTAAGCCTAGATATTGCTGTTCGGGGTAGTAGATTTACTATTTTAGAATTAAATTTTATACATGCTCCAATTGATCAGACTTTTATGTCTGTAAAAATCAAGTCAGTGCTTTGAAGGAAAATAATGAAGCATTTCCATATTTCTGATCATTCAACTTGAACCTAAAAACCTAAACCAGAAAGGAACCARATTTGTGTTTATTTGCTGAAACTGGCATAGCAAAGGCTCCACTCYGTTTATGAGAAGCTCCATTGAAAAGGACATAAGAGAGAAATTTWAAAAACCCACTAAAAATAATTATTTTTCTGTAAAGAAAATTTATTATTCTAATTCTGCTATGCTGAAATAACCATTAGTTTAAAAGTAACATATTTTTGTCTCTGATTTTGATTGAAGTCAAGTAAGATTTTCAAAGTTATTCTTTTAAACATCAAAAAAAAGTCCCCAACTGTTCCTGTAACTCTTCTAAGGAAAATTTATGCCATTTGGTATCAGAATACTAATCGTATAAGGATAAGCCTTGAGTTCCTGTATAAAATCACAAATGTATTTTTTAGCCACTTACTGCAAGCAGTACTGAAAGAAAGGTCTGTCTGCATTTATTGATACAACAGCAGCTGTAATTTTGAATGAAAATAGAAGTACAAGGAGTAAAATTATTCTTCTGACAATGTGCAAATTTCATCATAAACTCACTGAAGCTATTAATTTGTCCCAAATGTTCGCTGCATTTATCCTTCTGAATGAATCTGAGAGAAAATGATKTTGTCAGAATTCAACTGAATTTTAAGGGTACAAAAAGTCATTCATTTTCTCCATTTCTGCCCCCAAGWTTTTTGTGTAGTACCTATCTACAAAAAATGAAGGTCAAAAGCCAAAGCCATCATTACCGTGAATTTGTCTATGAGGTAGGCCAGCTACCAGCAGAATTTCTGGGCATGTCATCATCTTCTGCACTAAAGAATCATCCAGCTCTTCCAAACCTGGCCCAAACATAGCAAAGCGAGGTTCTGCCTGAGTGACCAGTGATTGCAAGAAGGAAGTCACAGCCCCATACCGGGGACGGCTTGATTTCAAACTTCTTCTACCCTGCGGACAGCTCCTTTTATATCTGTGTAAAATAGACGCAACTAGAAATTAAACACAAAATACAAGAGAGGTATTAATCAAACGACATAAATAGATTTAGGTCCCACATTYCTCATGCTTTGCTACTGGTACAACTCGAAGCATGGGTCAAAAATGATAACGTTCCAAACTGATGGTTTCAAGCACCAGTACAGAGCAGGCAAAGACATCAGCTCTTTTGAAGTCTGAATACTGACTTTTTGGACCTTGGTACACTTCTACCTACAGATTTTTCTGTTTATTTAAAAAAAAATCACAAATTCCCCCATCCTCACTTAAAACACAATATAGGTAAAATAACATCAAAGCAGAAGAGTCATATTAAAAATAAAATTTTTAAAATGTGAGTGCGTTTTAAACCTTAATTCAACGCTTTTGTGTTTGAAACAAGCAACCACCTGAAAAGAACCATTTCCCCTGTAGGTACAGGGCATGCAAGCTGTGGAAGGAGACCAGCATTGTCTGCACACTTATATGCTCATTTGGTGTGGACACTAGAAGGCATGGAAAGGATGGTAATAGGGGGAAAGAGTAACAGTCACACAGACATCCTAGAGCAGCAGCTTCGGTCTGCTTCTGCAGTCATGGCAGGATGCTGCTAGACAAACCTCTTCAAGGAAACATCATATGTGGGCTCCTTTATGCCCACACTGACATGCTTCAGTTGAGATCAGCAAAGRTGCTAAGCACACATAGACACAATGGAAATTAGTAACAGATGGTTTGAAATAGGTGATTCAGACYTAAACTGATTTAAAACCAATTTCAAAATCACTATGTATTTTGCTCTTCAAATTCTGTGTGTATTGTTMCCATCTGTTAAGTGAGGATGAAGGGCACAGAGATTGCAGAAGCTAGTGCACTTACCATGAAGCAACATGTTAAGCATCACCTTTAGTAAATGTAACTGCAAATAAATCAAAAATCCCAAAGAAATCCACACATCCCTACTGCAAATTAAGGGAACTGAATGAAGCTTAAAAAAAGAAATCACCGCAAAATAATCACTTGTTTTAAGAGTTATTTTCAGTTATCCAAACACATTTAGTGTGTTATACTTTTCAACTATACTAGCTGAAACCAGTCTTTGTCTTACAGCCTTTTGACAATCAGAGCCAAAGCAATACTACTTATTATTCTGTGCACATTCTGGGCACATTTTTTATTAAGTCTTCCACAGAAGATGAAAAAAAAGAAGATTCATTCCACTTGCTGTAGTTTGAAGACTTCTTGGTACTTTCATTAAAATGCTTGCAATTGTACTGAGAGCAAAGAACACTTTTTTAATCAAGATGAACAGTAGGCAGCTTTTGAGATTACTGTATGTGTCATACTAGACATGGAGTTTACAAAAATATTTTGGTTTTTTATAACATTAGCTTTGTCTGCTTCATAATGTTTTAGATTCTTGCTGAGTTCCAAACAGAAAGAGCTGACCAGATGACCAGACAGACCATGGAGCAACAGGAAATTGCATTTCCAAAATAAACAATGAATTTGAGACACATCAAAATTTAAACAGCAGTTTACAGCAGAGCTTTATTGCTGTAAATATGAAACATGCCTGTGGGCTGTATATATTAGTGCTGTAGAGAGACTTGAGGTCATGTAAAAGAATATGGAGATACTTACACTGCCATGTAATCATACAGTGCATTGTCGCTGACCTCTGAAAAGGCTTTATTAAAAATCTCTACATCTGGGAGTGATTTCCAATCAACAGATGTCCAAGAGGGGAGATCCCGCAGGAGAAAATACCTCCACAACAACGGGTCTTGCACAGCTGCCCGCCAGTAACAATTGGTGCTTCCTAACCGGCACAAATCTTGGGGCGAGAGGAATGACATGATGTTCAGCTGCACGTCAATCTGAAAACCATTGAGAACAGCGGTTTAGCGACCCAGGAATTCAGCAGCGAAGAAGGAAGGGGCGGGATGCCCCTTTACACCCCCCGCCCCGCCTTGTGCGACCGGGCCCACTCACCGGCAGCGCCTGCAGGGCGCTCACTGTGTCCGCTCTTTCCGGGAGCGCCGGCTGCGGGGACAGCGCGGTGCCGCGCTCGCGGGTGCTCCCCCGCATCCAGCGCTCCCGCAGGACGCGCAGCCCGCCCCGCACGGCGGCCTCCAGGCCGGCACCGCGCTGCTCCTCTCCCGCCGCCGCCGCCATGGCGCCCCCGCCCCCGGACACCGCCGCGCACGCTCCGGCCCCGCTGCACCGCCACCCGCCAGCGCCCGGGACTGCGCGCCGGCAGGGCGGCTGCCGCATACACACCCCAAACAGCGCGTTACACTTTGGACCTGTGTTCCACGAGTCCTTGGAATGCATGTTTTTAATGCAACAAMGTATACATTTTGATTGGAAAAAGATAAAGAAGTCAGACAACCTCCTGAAGCAGAGACAGACTCTGTAAGTGTGTGCTTAGGTGACAACTTTTCTTCTGGCACAGACACCGCAGTGGATCTTAGTTGTGGGATTTCACAAAGTAATGTAGCATTTGTTTTGCAGTTGTTGTGTTCCACCCGTGACCTTTTAAAGGTCCCTCACATACGGTCACATACTTTGTTAACATGTTTCTTCCCGTTTCTTGGAAATCCAGCGATATGCTCTGTGATCTGCTGTCCAAGTCACTGTCAGACACAGGACCTATTGACACAAGGCTGTTCTGCTTCCCATCTCCACAGTGTTTCAGTCCCCAGTAGCACATTTCTCCACTGTACATCAGTGCYAGTAAGTGAGTGTCACTAAATATACCTGCAAAAATAATTTAGATTAAGTACTTTATTGTTCTGCTGTAAGCAAGTACACAATTTGTTAACTTTAACTTTTTTTCAGTAACACTGGGGAACAAAAATTCCAAAAACACAATATAAGTATATAACGCCCAGAACAAAACCTGGATCAAGCCCATGCTCATTTCTCTGTCCAGTTTGACCCTCCATAATGTTAAAATCATTTAAGATTATTTTTTCTATCATTTTCTTTGCCTATTTATCTTACAGAATTCCATTATTTCTTTAAAGTCCATTAAGCACAGGCATGACTGTACATATTAATTTTAGAATATTTCTGTGCTCTCCACAGTTTAAGCCTAAAAGATATTGTCTGAGGTCATCTTAATTCAGGTTACCCAGCAGCAATTTCAGTATTTGAATTGAAAGCCACATGTCAATTGAAAGCCATGGTCACTAAAAAATCTTGCTAAATAAATCCACAAGTCAGTCACTGAATTTGGCTTTGCAGTATGAAGCTATATAAGAACAATGCCACTTTCAGATGAAATTAAGCAAGAAGGTGCTCTGTCCCACTGCAATCAGAGTTGTTTTTGAGTGCGCTTAATGTGGACATTGTGCCCTCAACAYTAAGTGTTTCACCTTACAAATCCCTTCCCATTACATCACCCTACCTGCATCATACTCATGCAGCCTAAGAGCCTCCTGTAAATGTTCTACAGGAATTAAACTCACACCAAGCTATATAAAGTGGTGACAGATAATCARACAAATCTAAACAACTCTGCATAAAGTTTTTACCTGCATGAAGTCTGTAATTGCGTTTGTATCTGTGCTATCCTAGAGTGAAAAGGCAAGACCAATATGTGAACCTCTGGCACCCTCTGCAGTCGTATTTGTGCCATAAACATCTGTCAGTTGTCAGCTGGATTGTTGTAAAACACTGAGTGTAAACACTGCCAGTGTAAAACACTGCTGTGCATCAAACACCCATTGCCTCAGTTCATCTCCCTCCAGTGCACTCATAAACACCAAGAAAATGAGCACTTCCACCTCCTAAAATTTATGAGTCGAAAAAGAAAGTGGCAGGGGGCACACTGTTGCCTGCTTATTTGCCTCATTTATTATCTTCTTGTTCTAAAAGGTGTCAGGTCTCAAATACAAATTAAGTCAAACAATAAAATCACTGAAAAAGCATTTCATAAAGTGGAGCAGTTATTAAGAGGAGCGGGTTGTGGGGTTTTTTGAGTTGTTTTTGGGTTTTTTTACCTTCACTGAGTAATCTAGCCGTATCTTTATCTTGAAGGGAGACATCTTCACCTAGCTGAAGAGGGCATCTAAAGCTAAGCATCTTCATTAAGTAATGAACTCCATCGTTAAGACACTGAGTACAGTTAAAAAATGAGGAAAAAAAAAAGTTCTAGTTAAATTAATCATAGGCAGAAATACTTATTTCTATGAAGTTCCCAAAACCTTACCTACAGAAAAACACCCAAAACAAAAAAACTCAGCCATATTTTAAAAGTGAAGAGTCAAACTTTAAAGCTGTATTTACAAGCTCATAGAATATTTTCATTTCCTTTACCTTTTTAAATGTGGCAATGTTTTCTTGTAGCCATTCGCTCCTTTCTTTTGCTGTATGACAATACATGTAAAGCAGGGCTCCTTTTCTCCAGTAAAGACATTCTAACAACTCTGCACCAAGGATGTTGACAGGCTGAAATAAAATCCAACAAAGTGATCTAACACAAAAATAAAACACCTGAACTACTCATGTGCACTGTCACACGTGCAAACAGTGTATAAATCTCTYACTTTTAGGGGCTGTGCTTGACAGCAACACTGAGAAAGACAAACCTAGCCTAACCTAACAGTGTAAACTGCCACGTGGAATCATTGACTGCCTGTAGAATCATGAAACATCAGCAAGAGAAATTCTGGGTGCAAAGATATTTGAAACAGTATTTTCAGGAATCACCATCTAAATACCAAACAGACTTGAAAATGCTTCAAAATACCTTAAATTCTGCCCATCAAAAAATACAACTACTACTATCCTGGTCAGGTTTTTTACTTTCAAATAATGAAATAATTAGCCCTCTGGCTACTTACTTCTTCATTTATGCCACATTCCCTCACTAGGTCTTCTGGTTCTGAAAGAATACAAATAAGTTCTTTAAGTTTTTGCAAGGAATATTCTTCTGGAAAATCTTCATCCACAAGCTGGTTTTCCTCAAAATAGGTAATGTCTAGGACAGCCTATGAAAACAAGAACATATACAAAGGAGAAATGCTACGGTCAAAAGAATCAAATGGTGGTGAGTTGTAACATGGAAAATTTTTTCGTTTATAAAACATTACCATTTAAAGGTATTTTTAAACATTTAATTTACAAAAGGCGCAAGTTCGAAGTACTGAAGGATTGGTGATGGTGAAAGCCAAACCGTCTTTTGTCCCTAAAGTAACAATTATCATCGACTCCAAATTATCAAAGTCAAAAGCAGCCCTGTGCTTCACAGGCACTCACCAAACACCATCAAGCAGAAATGTCTTTCTGCTCCACCCTCTATTTTACACCAAACCCTCTCCCACACCCTACACAAATTTTCTTTTAAAGGAGTTTACTGTCTGTAATAAAGTACCTGGGTATAGAGCTGAAAAAGCGTGGAAGGATGTTCTTTCCCTTCRTTGCAGAGGTCCTTCAACTTGTCCAGAGCAGCAGAGCCTTTCGCTAAGAAAGTATCTGAAGGAAGAACACAATGCTCCCTTTAGCACCGACGAGCACTCAGCAGAAGCCTGACTCACTCTCCTTTTCCACATGGCTTCATCCCTCCGGCACTACAAGAGCGGCTGAATAATACCGCATCTAAGCAGGCCGGTCATCCTGTCAGACCGCACCATTCACGATTAAATTACGGCCACCGCGGCCAGGCTCTGATGTTCCCAAGAGCACACCCCGTTTGCGGAGATGCCCTAAGAGCCGCCCGCCGCCCGCTCCCTCGGTGC